TCTGTGCATTTCCTTGTTGACGTTGCCTTATGTACGTCATTGTACAGTTTTGCAGGGCGTTACGTCTTGTTCGTTAGTTGGTTGTAAAGCGCTGTTGTCTGTTGTGGGTTTTTGTGGTTGTGCCGCATGCGACGTGCTTGTGCAGTCTTCTTTTGTTTGCATCATAAAGCAGATCATGGCCGGGCAGCAGATCAGCAGCTGATAGGCAAAACAGCAGATCAGCAACATCTAGGAAAGACAGCAAACTAGACCAGCTTACCGGCTTTTAGCAGCACGTGTGCCGTGGTGTGGTGTATTGTGCTGCATGACAATGTAACTATTTTGTAAGTGTCGATTTGTAAGATTTTATGTTGCATAATTCATATTGCATCCTGAATAAATTAATAATATTTTACTCATGATTATTTCCTTAAAGCATTAAAGATAAATTGTACGTCAAGTAGATGTACTGTACAATTTTGTTGTTTATACGCAATATACATTAAAGTAAAGTTTTGTATAATGTATTATCGTTACGTGATGCTTCCGACGTCAGCGTGTCGTCCCCAGCGGGATCATTGTGTGCGTGTGTGCGTGTGTGTGTGCGTGTGTGTGTGTGCGTGCGTGCGTGTGTGCGTGTGTGCGTGTGTGTGTGTGTGCGTGCGTGCGTGTGTGTGTGTGTGTGTGTGTGTGTGTGTGTGTGTGTGTGTGTGTGTGTGTGTGTGCGTGTCTGTGTGTGTGCGTGTGTGTGTGTGTGTGTGTGCACGCGCACGCCTGTATACGTATGTGTGGGTATGTGTGGGGGTGCTACTGTTTTTACTTGTGATGGAGAATTCCCAACTGCCCGCGATCCGCCTGTGTGTGTGCTTATTAGTACGTTTCTGCTCATGTTGTTTTGCCGTGCAAAGTCTGTGCTCGTTGCGTCCCCTGCTAGCTGATTAACAGCGTGCCTGTGTGTGTATTTCCCCGCCCACCTCCCGCCCGATCCCCCCGCCGGTCTGAGCGAGCCTGGGCGAGGACTTCCAACAGGACAACATGTATCGGCGCGACGAGCCGTCGCCACCGCCGTACATCGCCGTCATGTGTGAGAATGTAAGTACGAGAGGGGCCTCGTTTCACACGTCCCCATGCCGTCTTGCAACGCTTTGCCATAGCATGTCGGATTTGGGATGCCGGATTTGGATTGCCGACCACCAATCAATCTGCATCATCAACCCTTTGTTGTGGTATGCATGATGGCATGGCATGGTCGAGGGTCGTTTGGTTCCATCTCTTGAGTTTTGTTAATATCTGTTGCGAATTCGGCCACTCCGAAACCGTTTCGTAGTGTGTATGCAACCCCGTCATCCCCGCCCGAATCCCCTCATCACTCGCTGCAACAACACCTGCCGGGTCTGGGCCGCCACCGTCATTTTCACCATCAGCATCACCGTCGACGTGGAAGACATGCCATTTTGATCGCCGTCGGCGTCTTGCCGTCGGCGTTTTGACGTCACGGGGTGTCGTACCACCGGTGAGTCTAAGCGATACTTAAATGCATGCCTTGTCTGTGCTGTGCACTTCCTTGTTGACGTTGCCTTATGTACGTCATTGTACAATTTTGCAGTGCGTCACGTCTTGTTCGTTAGTTGGTTGTAAAGCACTGTCTGTTGTGGGTTTTTGTTGTTGTGCCGCATGCGACGTCGGCGTCTCGCCATGGACGTCTCGCCGTGGACGTCTCGCCATGGACGTCTCGCCGTGGACGTCTCACTGTCGGTGTCTTGCCGTTGACAGTTCTTGTCGTGCATTTCCCTCCCTGGCCGCCGCTGCGGCTCTTCTCCTCTGGGCTTGCTGCCACCGCGACCTTTTTGCGGTGCATTTCCCTCCCCGGCCGCCGCTGCGGCTCTTCTCCTCTGGGCTTGCTGCCACCGCGACCTTTTTGCGGTGCATTTCCCTCCCCGGCCGCCGCTGCGGCTCTTCTCCCCTGGGCTTGCTGCCACCGCGACCTTTTTGCGGTGCATTTCCCTCCCCGGCCGCCGCTGCGGCTCTTCTCCTCTGGGCTTGCTGCCACCGCGACCTTTTTGCGGTGCATTTCCCTGCCCGGCCGCCGCTGCGGCTCTTCACCTCTGGGCTTGCTGCCACCGCGACCTTTTTGCGGTGCATTTCCCTGCCCGGCCGCCGCTGCGGCTCTTCTCCTCTGGGCTTGCTGCCACCGCGACCTTTTTGCGGTGCATTTCCCTCCCCGGCCGCCGCTGCGGCTCTTCTCCTCTGGGCTTGCTGCCACCGCGACCTTTTTGCGGTGCATTTCCCTCCCCTGCCGCCGCTGCGGCTCTTCACCTCTGGCATTGCTGCCACCGCGGCTTTTTCCTCTCATCACCCTTCTGCTTTCAAACCTACCATGCACAAAAGAAAGATGAAAAGGGAGACATCCTTGCTCAAACCACGACATTCGTTGCAAAGCAGGAAAACAAGGGAGTCCAAAGATATGGAGGATCGGTCGAGAAATATGGTTGTCATGGTGGAAGTTGTCCGTTGGAGATATGTTTGGTTGGAAGAGGTTGGCAGATGTTGATCCAGTTGGTGGACAGTTGGTGGACAGTTGGTGGTGACCGGCCGGTTTTATTGTCGTCGCTGGGTTTTGTGGATGGTAGCTAGCGTTATCTAACCAGCCAGCAGCTGCAGCCAGTTATATTGCCTAAATGGGCTACGCTACGCAGCTAGCAGCCAGCAGCCAACAACCAGCATCAGCGAGTGTGCGCGTGTCACGGCTGTTGCCGCGCGTGTACAGTCTGTCGTGTTTTCGTTTGTGGTGCCCACAGCCCTGGTTGTGCACAATTGATTTTCATTTGTTTGGGGATTACCTAATTAAGGGGAGACTACACCTTATTAAATAATAGATGAATAAATAAAGCTGAACCATGATATCTATTTCCGCTTTATTTATTTACTTATTTATTTACTCTGTTTTGAATATCTTATTATAGTTTAGTAATGCGCCTCAGCCTAATAAGCTAAGGCGTGCATTAGGGTGCCGGGGTTGTAGAGGTTATGGGTTTTCCCAGGCCTTTGCACCTCCTGTCACCGTATTTTTACTTTTTTCATTATGTAGTCAGCAGCAGCAGCAGCAGCAGCAGCCGGCAGATCAGCAAGCAGCTGCAGCAGTGGCCATGGCCCGGGCCCTTTATCGCCAGGGTTTGCGGCAGCTTCCCTGGTGCCAGGACCCGAATGCAGGGTCGACTGGCTGCCGGGACTCGGGGCGTACGAGTCGTCCGGCCTGCCGGCACCCGCACGCAGGGGCCGGCCGTACTTTTATAACGCCCGTCTCAGGTGGGTGGATGGGTGGGTGGGCGACGTGGGTGTGGGTGTGGTGCGTACTTCGTGACTTGGGTTCAACTAGTGGTCGCGGAAAAAGGCC